GATAATAGGCTGCAGTTTCCTCCATTCTTATGTTCTTATGTTCTTAATATTCGCTTCGTAAACACACTGTTGGTGAATAAGTAGCCACAGCGTGATAGGACTGGCTGTTGCATCAGGTGCTGTTAGGACGTCGGGGAGCGGGAAGTGTTTAGTGAGACGTTTTGATTCTAACCTTAATGACGTGAGGGAGGTGTTTGTGTTAAAGCAGCAACTCCCGTGTTACAGCTGGAGTGCTACGCAGAGACCTCTCGCATGCTGTTCTGCGCAGTGCCAAGCGCTGAGATGAATCTTCGGCTCGTTAGCACTTGTCTTTTTTCTAGCCACCCCACCCCCCGTTTTTTCTTCACTTTTGAAGGATATATTTAAGTCTTGTGTGCCACTGACTTTTATGTGCTGGAGAAGTATTGTATTGCCCGTTTTCTGATTGTATGTGTGTGTACTCACAACAGTAGCCACACCTGGTTTTTGTCACTCCTGATATAAGCCACCCCTTGTAATTGTTTCATACATGAACTGCTAGAATAGTTGAGGTTACATTTGACATTACTGTAGTGGAGGAATTAGGTGCCGAAGAATTATATACAGTAGGTATTTTGACGTTAAGCAGTATTAGAATATCAGGTGAATACAAGATGTTTTTGGTGTTATAAAAAGAGGGCAGGACAAGGCTCCATTGGCCGGGCTAGCTGGCCGTGGGGTGAAGGAGAGGTTCACTGGGCTGTCCTTTCTGTTGTGGTAGTTACACTTTAAAGCAGAATGTCCCTAATTGTATCCTCGGATTCTGTAACCAATTTAGTCCCAAGTAGCTGAGCATGGTTGTAGATTACTGTAATTACTGTAACGGAACACCCAACTGTAATAGATGAGGAGCGGGAAGAGAGCGTGAGGCAGCAACTGTATAAAGGCTAGTCTCCCTCTGTTCACCAAGGGCTGCTCAACCTACAGCACTGTGTCGCAGGCCTTCGATATACAGTATATATATATATTTCATGTAAATCCACAATGAAAACGTGGATAAGATAAATCTTGATAAATCACACGGGAAAATGGAAACAACAGGTACCTTAGCTTTCGTCTTTATTCAAGACATCTTCAGAGCAACTAGCATATATATATATATATATATATATATATATATATATATATATATATATATATATATATATATATATATATATATATATATATATATATATATATATATATATATATATAACTACGTACTGTATTTCATCTCGATATATTTTCCTTCCATTATTTGGTGATGCTGTGTTAATACATAGGCTACTGTATACTGTAGTATTAGTCGTTTTAGATTAAGCGATGAAATAACCACATGCTGGCTATGTTGGATCTGCGCCTCTCCTTTACCGCCTCTCTGCGCCCCGCGCCGCTAATTACACCCACGCCTCTCCCCGGACACTCTCTTACACGCGCGTCTCTCGCCGCACCACACGCCACCTGCCTCACCGCGCACCACTGCCGCCGCCGCTGCGCGCCTCGCACGCCGCCATCTCACGCACCGCCATATGCGCCATGCCGCCACCGCACCGCCTCGCACGCGCCACCACCTGCCTCTCGCCACCACGCCGCCGCCGCCTCGCCGCACCCTCGCCGCCATGCACCACTCCCTCCATGCCACCGCCACTGCCTCTCGCTCCGCCGCCTCCTCGCTCCTGCACGCCGCCACCTCCTCTCTTTCTCTGCCGCACCCTCCCTCGCTCTCCGCACGCTTTTCCTCATCTCTTTGCATATCTCCGCTCTCCGCACCGCACCTCAATATGCCGCCTCCGCCGCTCCGCACCACGCCGCGTCGCCGCCGCGCACCACCGCCACCACGCCACTCCGCTCCGCACGCCGCCAACCACTCCGCCATATCCGCCGCGCCGCCATCGCCGCGCGCCTGCACGCCGCCACGCCGCACCTCACTCGCCGCCGCACCACCGCCGCATCGCCGCGCCGCACGCGCCCGCCGCCATCGCCGCACCGCCTCGCCGCCACGCGCACGCGCCGCCGCGCCCGCCGCGCCGCCGCAGATGCTCCGCCTCTCATCTCCTTTCTCTCCCGCGCGTCGCAATATGCGCCGCCATAAATATGCCGCCGCGCCGCGCGCCGCCATGCGCCGCCGTATCGCGCCGCGCGCCTGCGCGCCATCTCCGCCGCCGCCGCCGCGCCTCAATATCACGCCCGTCGCCGCGCATCGCGCCGCCGCACTCGCCGCGCGCGCCATCGCGCGCCGCGCCGCCGTCTCCGCCATCGCGCGCCGCGCCTGCGCCGCCGCGCGCCGCGCCGCCGCCGCCGCCGCATACGCCATGCGCTCTGCGCGCTCCGCCGCATGTCACCGCCGCCGCCTCGCCATCGCCGCCGCGCTCATCATCCGCACGCCATATACGCGCACGCCGCCGCGCACGCTCCTCATCGCCGCCTCGCTGCCGCGCCGCACCGCATCGCTCCGGCACCGCACGCACCGCACGCCTCGCACGTCTCGCCGCCGCTCTGCGCCGCGCATCGCAATATGCGCCGCGCCGCCGCACGCCGCCGCCCTCCTCCTCCACACCACACACCCCTCCTCTCCACACCACACACCTCCCACACCACACCTCCCTCACTCCTACACACCTCCCACCACACCTCCCACCCCACACCTCCACACCACACACCTCACACCACACACCTCCCACACCACACACCTCCCACCACACACACCTCCCACCACACACCTCCCTCACTCTCCACACCACCTCCCACCACACACCTCTCACCACCTCCCCTCACCACACACCTCCCTCACTCTCCACACCACACCTCCTCACTCTCCACACCTCCCTCCTCTCCACACCACACACCCTCCTCCTCCACCACACACCACACACCTCCCACCACACACACCTCCCTCACTCCACACCACACACCTCCCACCACACCTCCCACCACACACACCTCCACACCACACCTCCCACACCACACCTCCTCCTCTCCACCACACACCTCCCACACCACACACCTCCCCACCCACACCACAACCTCCCACACCACACACCTCCCCACTCTCACACCACACACCTCCCCACTTCCACACCACACACCTCCCTTACTTCCACACCACACACACCTCCCTCACCACACACCTCCCCACTTCCACACCACACACCCTCACTCCACACCACACACCTCCCACTTCCACACCACACACCCTCCCCATTCCACACCACACACCTCCCTCACTTCCACACCACACACCTCCCCTCCACACCACACCTCCCCACCACACACACACCTCCCCACTTCCACACCACACCTCACCACACACCTCCCTCACCCACACCACACACCTCCCCACTCCACACCACACCTCCCCACCACACCACACACCTCCCTCACTCTCCACACCACACACACCTCCCTCACTCTGCACACCACACACCTCCCTACCCTCCACACCACACACCTCCCTCACTTCCACACCACACACCTCCCTCACTTCCACACCACCACCTCCCACACTCACCACACACCTCCTTCACACACCTCCCTCACCACACACCTCCCTCACTACACGCCTCCCACACCACACACCTCCCTCACCACACACCTCACCACACACCTCCCCACTCCACACCACACCTCCTCACTCACACCCCACACCTCCCCTCTTCACACACACCTCCCCCCACCTTCTCACTTCACACCCACACCTCACTCTCCACACCACACACCTCCCCTCCTCCACCACACCCACACACCTCCCACACCACACACCTCCCACACCACACCTCCCTCACTCCACACCACACACCTCCCTCACTCTCCACACCACACACCTCCCTCACTTCCACACCACACACCTCCCCTACTACACCACACACCTCCCCCACTTCCACACCACACAGCCTCCCTCACTTCCACACCACACCCCCTCACTTCCACACCACACACCTCCCCCACATCCCCACTCACACCACCCTCACTCCCCACACACCCCACACCACACACCTCCCTCACTTCCACACCACACACCTCCCCACTCCACACCACACACCTCACTCCACACCACACACCTCCCCACTCCACACCACACACCTCCCCACCTCCACACCACACACCTCCCTCACTTCCACACCACACACCTCCCTCACTTCCACACCACACACCTCCCTCACTTCCACACCTCACACCTCCCCTCACCACACACCTCCCTCACTTCCACACCACACACCCCACCACACACCCCTCCCTCCCACACCACACAACTCCCCACTCTCCACACCACACCTCCTCACTTCCACACCACACACCTTCCCACCACACACCACACACCTCCCTCACTCTCCACACCACACACCTCCCCACCACTCTCCACACCACACACCTCCCTCACCCTCATACCTCACCACACACCTCACTCTCCACACCCTCCCACACCACACACCTCCCCACTCTCCACACCACACACCTCCCCATCCACACCACAACCCTCCTCACTTCCACACCACACACCTCTCACACACACACCTCATCCACACCACACACCTCCCTCCCTCCACACCACACACCTCACTCTCCACACCACACACCTCCCCACTCTCCACACCACACACCTCCCCACTCCACACCACACCTCCCTACTTCCACACCACACACCCTACCTCCACACCACAATTCCACACACCTCCCTCACTTCCCACACCACACACCTCCTCACCGCCACCACCTCCCCACTCCACACCACACACCTCCCTCACTTCCCACCACACACCTCCCTCCTCCACACCACACACCTCCCACCCACACCACACACCTCCCTCACTCCACACCACACACCTCCCCACTCACACCTTCCCCACCTCCACACCACACACCTCCTCACACTCTCCACACTACACACACCTCTCCTCACTCTCCACACTACACACCTCCCACAATCACACCTCTCTACACCACACACCTCTCACCACACACCTCACTCTCCACACCACACACCCCCTCACTTCCACACCACACCTCCTCACCCACACCACACACCTCCCTCACTCCACACCACACACCACACACCTCCACACCACACACCTCCCCACTCCACACCACACACCTCCTACACCACACACACCCCAACCACACACCATTCACACCTCCACACCACACACACCTCCTCTACCACACCACACACCTCCCACACCACACACCTCCCACACCCACACACCTCCCCACCACACACCTCCCTCACCACACCTCCCTCACCTCCACACCACACACCTCCCCACCTCCACACCACACACCTCCCCACACCCACACCACACTTTCCCCACCACTCACCTCCCTCACCATCCACACCACACACTTCTCCTCACTCACCTCCTCACTCTCTGCACACCACACACCTCCTCATACCACACACCTCCCCCACTTCTCCACGCACGCCACACACCTCCTCACCACAGACCTCCTCACCTCTGCATCACACACTTCACCTCACTGACCTCCTCACTTCCACACCACACACCTCCCACTCTCCTCACCACACACCCCTCACTTCCACACCACACCTCACCACTGCACCTCCCCACTCTCCACACCACACACCTCCTCACCACCACCTCCCTCACTCTCCACATTTACCTGTCATCGTTGCTCCCCCCAGGTAATTGAAATAAACACTCTGTGGCCTTGACCCTCACCTGCACTGTGGTTTCTGATTATGATTTGGATTGAGGCATGTGTAGGTTAGCGATAGGTGGAGTATAATTCACGCTGTTGGGATGTTGTGGGGGGGGGGGTGGGTGGGGTGGGTTGTGTGTGTGTGATGTGGTTTTGTTTTATCGTGGTGACAGGAATGTGCTGCTGGTGTGGCGAGGGTGTTTGTGTGAGGTATAATTAATGTGGTGTGGGTTGCTGTGATAAGGAGATGGCAGGTTGTCTCATGATAATATGAGCAATTCAGGTCGTGACGCCAGTGACATCGGCTTGATAACATGAGCATTCAGTGATTGTATATCGATAGTTTATAATTAATATAACACGCGTTAGAGGATTTCGAGAATGGAATGATAACATGATATGATTTACTTAGTTAGTGAATATTTCTTGTGTAAATGATTAATATAAAATAAATAAGATAAAAGGAGACACTCAGATGTTATTATATGGGTGTGCATGCGATAGAATTGAGATGTATTACAGCAGGCTGTGTTTATGATGGCGGTGGTAACTAATGTTAAGAAAATGTGGAATATTTTGACATTATGTTAAGTACTTATTGATTGTGACATTGTAATAATATAACACAAAAGGGAAGTAGGTATGATAACAAATACCACAAGGCTAGAGTGTACTAATAACATAATACAGTGGGTGCAGCCCAAAAGCACTTCCCAGCTTCTTTTCACTCTGCCGGGCTTAACACTCTAACACTACCTGAGTGGTGTGATTTTCCAGTGATAGTGATTATCAGGATAGATTGTTAGACTAGTGATAAATATGTTAGATACGATAGATTGCTGGATTTGTACTATGTTGATGTAGTGAGGTTGTGATCATCATGCTGGAAGTGTTGGAGGTGCCTAATCTTTACGTGATTTCGCTGATTAACCTGTGGACGTGGGACAGGGATGAGAGAAATAAGTGGTGACGCTGTGACTGGTGGTGTTACAATGAGATGGGGAGAGGTAACTACTATTATTTGTAGGTTTTGAAGAGATGATGATTGGGTGAGAGAGAGAGGAAACGTGTGCAACTGATGGATACTGTCTCGTGATGTGTCATGGCTGTATACTATGTATCTTGATGTGACCCTGATGTATCCTTGACTGTGACCCTGATGTATCTTGGCTGTGACCCTGATGTGTCATGGCTGTGACCTGATGTGTCTTGACTGTACCCTGATGTGTCTTGGCTGTGACCCTGATGTGTCTTGGCTGTGACCCTGATGTGTCTTGACTGTGACCCTGATGTGTCTTGGCTGTGACCCTGATGTGTCTTGCTGTGACCCTGATGTGTCTTGACTGTGACCCTGATGTGTCTTGGCTGTGACCCTGATGTGTCTTGCTGTGACCCCTGATGTGTCTTGGCTGTGACCCTGATGTGTCTTGGCTGTGACCCTGATGTGTCTTGACTGTGACCCTGATGTGTCTGTGTACCCCTGATGTGTCTGGCTGCACCCTGATGTGTCTGCTGACTGACCCTGATGTGTCTTTGACTGTGACCTTATGTTCTTGACTGGCTGTGACCCTGATGTGTCTTGACTGTGACCCTGATGTGTCTTGGCTGTGACCCTGATGTGTCTGGCTGTGACCCTGAGATCTCGCCCGCTGAAGTCTTGCTACTTAAATTTACCTGGGACTTAAGATGTGTGAAGGCATCTTAACGAACTCATTTAAGCTCTGATAACAGGTGTCCAGGTGGCGTGACTCAACCTCATCCGTCTTGTTGGTGTTAATCATTATTTTCTTATAGTAAGATTTTGTTACTAATTTATATATTCCGGGTTCCCAATACAGTATATCTTGATGAATATATTTGCTGATGTGACTCTTCCTGGGCAACACTCACCGCGCTCTTCCAAGTGTTGCCTCGCCACCACCCGTGATGATGGATCCACGCTGGAGGACCAGACTCATGCTCCACCCACACCCACACCCCCAGCCACGCCCACACACTGCCACCTGCTCATGCCTACCACCACTACCAGCACCCTGCAGGTGTGACGGGCAGCTTACCACTAGCTTCCTGGTCCGCCTCCCAGCCGCCCCATCACACCCGCCACTCTCGCATAAACTTCCAGATCATACACAAGCTGCCCACCGTATAGTGCTGCCACTTTCCTACAAACTACAACCACCAAAACTTCTAATGAGGCACGCTTGGGCACAGTCGGAACATTTCCGCCACCAGGTATCAGCACCAGCAGCTACCACTACGGCCCTCAACCTTTATATGACCCACGGACATCATCCCGCTTATACAGCAGCCAACCATCTCATGTACTAGGATCTCAAGATACTAAACGACCATACAATACACACCGTCTGTATCTGCAGAAATGTAACTCTGGTCGTCCATATAAACACAAGCTCCCAGTGCAGCAGAACTACGGCCTACTGGACCATATAACACATGTCTACCTCAAAGGAGACTCAAAAATCCTATACGACCTTACAGTCCCAGTCTGCTCTTCCAGTGACTTGAGGGCATATCCTCATCCATTTAGTCCTCAGTCTTGGTTCTACTACTCAAAGTCACTTGAGAGCAAATTTTCATCTAAATCGTCAGACCCAAGAGCAGACTTCATCATGAACAGTGGAGTCGCTGTATAGAGTCCTAGCCAAGCCCTTGGAGAGATTGGTGCCATCGTCCCCATAACCCTCTAGTGTGGAATTGCCCAAGGATGTTTCTTATTTAGAAAGAAATCTGTGGAATAGGTGTTAGACGATCAGAAGACCCTTATATTGAAAGCGAAACCTTGGTTAATGGGTCACGTGATCCATTATATCCAAATGGCTTCAGCAGCTCGTATTCCTCGTGACAGAGAGAACCTCCAGAGAAACTACAGATTCTCGCCCAAAGGAAGATTCTGCTCTAGATCTTTCTGTCAAGACTCTGAAGCAGACCCTGGACTCAACTGCTCCAGATCCTGTTTTAGAATTTCTCCAATGAGTGCAGTAGCTGGAAAAATTAACCCAGTGACTCACTCACAATCACCCCAAGCTCTATTCCTGTTACATCGTCTAGTAAACCTATCAAGGACTCATCTACAATACACAGATGTGCACCCAAGGTTGCCCCCAGCATTTCAGGGCACCAAGGGCAACACCTCCCAGTCATTTTACCTTCCCTTATGGGGTGAATGGTTCCCCAGTCCTCTGCCATCATCCAGTCCTTTTGCAGTCCGGGATTCTCACTTGTTATTTTCCACCAAACGGCAGGTGACCCACCATATTTAGAGAACTACGCGAAGCTACCTCGAAGAAGTCACACACCACCTAACGCGCCACCCCGTCTCGACAGTTAGCTGATATTCATCTTCAAGTCATCACATGATAAATCTATATATAGTGGACACAAAGAATCTATAGCTGATCGTGGTCACCATCTCTTAGCGGCTCAAACACTAAAACTGAACAGGATAGATATGGGAGAGAGTCTGACAGAAGACAACCAAGTATAGAAAGGAGAGATTCTGGTAATGAATGGGGAGAATTAAGTTTAGAAAGAAGAGTTAATTAGGATCCCAATATAGAAAGGAGAGGTTTAAGCATTGAAAGAAGAGATCTCAGTCTTGAAAGAAGAGATCTCAGTCTTGAAAGAAGAGATCTCAGTCTTGACAGAAGAGATCTCAGTCTTGAAAGAAGAGATCCAAGTCTTGATAGAAGAGATTCAAGTCTTGAAAGAAGAGAGATTCAAGTCTTGAAAGAGAGATTCAAGTCTTGAAAGAAGAGATTCAAGTCTTGAAGAAGAGACTCAAATTATGACAGGAAAGAATTAAGCTTAGACAAATGGAATCTAAATTCAGTCATGGAATCAAAGTATATACTTGCAACACTCAGATGGTTTGATCCTACAGAGTGTGGGTAAACACACCTGAGCAGTCCAAACCCAACAGTGATAAACAAAAATATTTACCAGGACCGTATTCTCATACCAACTTCCTCGTTCCCCACCACCTTACCTCAGCAAGGTTCAAGGGTTCCTTCTGCTCAACCTCCCATCCTTTTTTCAACTTATGGACGTCCTCCAGACACAAGACTACCTCAGACTCCTTACCCCCAGTCAACCCATATGATTTCTGCCCACTACCACAAGTGAGTGTGGCATATTCAAAGCGAGCAAAATGCATCAGCCTTATGCCCAGCCAGCCACCAGCAGGCGACACAGGTTCCACTATCACACAGTAGTAGTCACTCTTCTCAGCCTCCTGTTACTACATCTGTGACACAATCCTATCATTATCAGTATACTACAAGTCAGGGTGCATTACCATCAACAACAGCAGCAGAGACATCAGCAACAACGGTCAGCAACACAGCAGTCACCTTTAATCTTCCTCAAACCACAAAGTCAGTAGCTGGAGTTTCACCACCTCCTCATCTAAGCCAGCAGCAGGCAGCTCATCAAGCATATATGCCCAGCAGCGTAATGAAGCATCTCATGCATTGTATCCAAACAAGCGGTCAACCAAATGTCGCCTCATCCTTCTAGTTCACCACATCCTTCAATATCTCCCCATCCTTCTGCATCCCCACATCCAGCAGCATCACCACATCCATCTGCTTCCCCATTCAGTGGCAGCTTCTCCACGTCCTGGAGTTTCTCATCCATCACAGCAGGGTAGAACTCCAGTCCTCTCCACACCCTGCACAGAGGCTTCCAACAAACTCTCCAGTGCAGCATTCAAGTCATAGCTATCCAGGAAGTCTCCTCCTAGTCCTATTCAGGTCATCAGACTTACCAACCACATTTAACACCACCTTCCAGACCACCATCAACAGCCGCCCCCACCCTCATCCATCTCAACCACATCCCAGCCATCCATCTAAAACCCCAACATCCACCCATTGCAACCCCACCCTACCCGACCCACTGATCCTCACTTGGCTCTGCTCAGCCCATCACCTGGAGGATCATCCACCTCAGGGTCACCCAACCCAAGCCAATATGCAGCAGCACTCACTGCTCTCCCAGAACCAGTATCCTCAGGCCCATCCACTACAGTCCCATCACTTTCAGCCTCTCTCCACAAGCCCATCCATCACAGGCCCGCCCAACACACACTCAATCATCACAGGTCCATCCTCACCAGAGCCATTCCACCATGGTCACCTATCCCAGTCCATCACTTCTCAAGCTCACCCTCAGACATCTCGCTTATCCCTATTCACCACAGGTTCACCCCTATCCTCCCAATTCCAACTCACCCTTTCAAGCCTCCTCATACCTCCTGCTTCTTCCATCATTCCCAAACTCCTCATTTCTTCCCAAGCACCTACCCATTCTTCCAAGCACCTCCCCATTCTTCCCAAGCTCCTCCCATTCTTCCCAAGCACCTCCCCATTCTTCCCAAGCACCTCCCCATTCTTCCCAAGCACCTCCCCATTCTTCCCAAGCTCCTTCCCCATTCTTCCCAAGCTCCTCCCCATTCTTCCCAAGCTCCTCCCCATTCTTCCTAAGCTCCTCCCATTCTTCTCAATCTCAACTCATTCTTCCAAGCTCCTCCCATTCTTCCCAAGCTCTCTCATTCCTTCCCAAGCTCCTCCCCATTCTTCCCAAGCTCCTACTCATTCTTCCCAAGCTCCTCCCCATTCTTCCCAAGCTTCCTCCTATTTTTCCCAAGCTCCTTCTCATCCTTCTCAAGCACACCACCTCACCCTTCCCATGCACACCACCTCTCTCCCACTCAAGTCTCTCCATATCCCAACCAAACTCCCCCCATGCTTCTCAACCCCATTCTCGTTCTACCCGCCCCCTCCCCATCCTTCTCAAGCCCCTCCCCATCCTTCCCAAGCACCTTCACATCCTTCTCAAACCCACCCATATCTCTCAAACCTATCCCCATCCTTCTCAGGCTTCCTCCATCATTCCTGCCCCCATCCTTCTCAAGTCCGTCCCCATCCTTCTCT